TTTCGAAAGATGATGTGAAAACTCATCGACTATATGCCTAGGGTTAGAGGTTCTCAAACACTTTCTAGTTTTCAGAGTATAGCAATGTTGTTGGGAGGTGAACGATTATAACTTATTAGCTAACATAGTCCCTATCTTGTTGCCATTTGCATAAAATTTCTGACGAGACAAACGCAAATGGCACTCAGCCTCATCAGTCAAACAAAGGTTTACATCCATGCGAAGATGATCCACCTTTTGCCAGAGCTCAGCCGTAGGGGACCATTTAAATAGTACTGTAACCCTTTCAAGCTCACGTTCCAAAGCCTGTCGATGGTGATCTCATTCCTTATGCCGCCTGTAAGCCAGTTGTATAATATGGCCTCTAATAACCGCTTTATAAGCCTCCCAAAGAGTAACAGATGAGGAAGCCGTACCCAAATTATTCTGAAAGTAATCCAAGGAATGGATCGAAATATCCTCAACTACAGAGGAAAAAGAGAGAAGAGAATCATTAAGATACCAGGAGGGAGCCCGTAGACACTGAGAGGGAACTGAACACTGCGTGGTGATAGGATCATGGTCAGACCAAGGCACCGTAGGAATCCTAATCGAGAGTAAATGCGGAAGAAAAGAAGGGGCCACAAAGATGTGATCAATACGAGAATGGCTAGAATGAGGGTTGGAGAAAAAGGTATAATCTCTAGAAGTGGGATGAAAATCCTGCCAAGCTGCTTTCCTATTGCAGATTCAGTCTTCCCAGCCTGCTGCGGGTCTACAAGAAGGTACAGGTCTGTGAGAGCCAGAAATCTTGCTTGTTTGTAGGTGACCATATATTTATTTTCCACCACAATTTGCAAATAAATTCTTTCCAAATCAGCCAATGTGATTGTCTGGATTTTTTTTTTCTCATTTTGTCTCTCATAGTTGAGGTCTACCTATGATGCCAATTACAGGCCTCTCTCATCTTTTTAAGTGGGAGAACTTGCACAATTGGTGGCTGACTAAATACTTTTTTGCCCCACTGTACATACAGTGTTCAGCATAAATTAGTACACCCCTTTTGAAAAAAAGATTTTAATCAATATCTCAATGAACAAAAGAACAATTTAAAAAATATTGACAGAACTGAGTTTTATAGAACATTTGTTTAGCTCATTACATGAAAGTAAGGTTAACAATATAACTTAGATACAAAAACTACTACATCTAGTATTTTGTATGACCTCCATGATTTGTAAGGACAACACCAAGTCTTCTAGGCATGGAATGAATAAGTTGGTGACATATTGTAACATCTATCTTTTTCCATTCATCAAGAATTACCTCTTTTAGAGCCTGGATGCTGGATGGAGAGTGATGCTCAACTTGTCTCTTCAGAATTCCCCATAGGTGTTATATTAGGTTCAGATCAGGAGACATACTTGGCCATTGAATCACTTTCACCCTGTTCTTCTTCAGATATGCAACAGTGGCCTTAGATGTGTGTTTTTGATCATTGCCATGTTGGAAAAGAGCACGCCAACCAAAGGCATGGAGTAATGGTAGAATCTTCTCTTTCAATATAGAGCAGTACGTCTGTGAATTCATGATACCATCAATGAAATGCAGCTCCCTGACACCAGCAGCACTCATGCAGCCCAACAGAAGGACACTGCCACCACCATGTTTTACTGTAGGCATCATGCATTTTTCTTTGTACTCCTCACCTTTACGACACTATACGAGTCCCAATAGTCTTCTTCTTTTCAGTATGGGGCCTGGAAAATTCTAGCTGGTCTTTTTTGTGCATGGGCTTTGGGAGAGGCTTCCATCATAGACAACACCCATGCATGACATTTCTCTGCAGTGTAGGTCATATTGTGTCGCAAAACAATTACCCAGTTTGGCTTTTTACTTCTTTAGCTAACTGCAGTGAACTTCCATGGTGATTTTCTTTAACCCTTCTCATCAGAAGACGCTCCTGTCGAGGTTTTAACGTCTGTGGATGGCCTGGATGTCTCTGTGAGATGGTGGCAGTTCCATCTTTGTTACATTTTTATAATTTTACTACAGTATTCTGACTGATGTGTAAAGCTTTACTGATCTTCATGTAGCCTTCAACTTTATTGTATAAAAAATTATTTTCTTTCTCAGGCCTTGTGACATTTCTCTTCCATGTTGTGCCATTGCTGACAGCATGAAATATGAAGGGGTTTTCTTTGTTAAGTAACGCCCTTTTATAATCAACTGTCTTCTGGACACCTGATTAATGAATAATTAGACTCAACTGTATTTGAATTCTTGTTAATTAGGATTTTGTTGTCTAAAATTTAACTTTGCTTCTAGGACTTTCATTGGGGTGTATTCATTTTTACAACATGGTCTTGAATGAATTTGTTAGGAAAAATATTTTTTTTGTGTGTGCAAATTATCAAATCTTTTTTGCAACCAAAGGCCTGCATTTGTGGGAGTATTTTGTAGTATAGTGTCCCATAGAAAATGTTGATTCTGAAAGGAATGTAAAGGTTTTCCGACACATTATTATTATTATTATTATTATTATACAGGATTTATATAGCGCCAACAGTTTGCTCAGCGCTTTACATTATAGTGGGAGACAATACAGTAACAATACAGTTCAATACAAGAGGGATTCTTGGAGCTTACAATCTAGAAGACATCTGTTGGGGTGTACTCATTTATACTGAGAACTGTAGAATATAATGGAAAACGCACTGTAAATTGCAAGAAATTGTTGTAAGTCTTCACAAGTAGCAATAAAGTCTTCAGAAATTGCACCTGAAATTGCGCTGAAATTGCACACAAATTGCACTATTTTGAATCACAGCGGTGTGATCAGCGACTTAGACATTCCACAACAGTATGCCATGAAAGAACCATCAGATGAGGGTCACCGGGTAGTTTTTAAACCCTTCCACCTACCCACTGTGACCCTTTAAGTCTTAAGGCAGAACTAAACCTTTCTATCCTTTACAGCAGTGGTGGTCAGGGATGATCACCAGTGTGACAGCAAATCATAAGTAGCAGAGGCATGCTCCAACCTGCAGCCACGTGTTCAAGGGGCAGATATATATTTGGCTGCAGGGTAATGTCTTCTTTGCTTATGAAAGGCAGTCTTCAGATTCCTCCCTGAACATGTCTGAGCATCCCTATTGATGGTCAGCTTGAAAATTACAGAGGGCCTCAAGTACAGCTCCCAAAACTTCCAGAGGGCCACACAATAGCAGTGTATTTCATACCTCAGTATCCTTTTTTGGAGCAAATTGCAAATCATACTGAATAATAGTACCCAACATTAGTGAAATAATAATCCCCCAGCATGCCCGGGAAAGGGCCCCCAAGACCAGTGGATCAGGAGAGGGTCCTTCATGGTTTCTTACACAAGAGCCCTGACGGTTGTAGTTATGCCTCTGAATTTTTTAAAACTTTCTTTGCATTGTTGCATGCTCTCCAGACCCCATGCCACTTGTTTTACAGTCCATTTCCTAATATTCCACTAAAATGGCCATTGCTGCTTTTTTTTTTTTTACATTCAACTACAATTGACTTTAATTGAGTTTGAATTCAGCAACCAAACTTTAGTCATAAAACAGAGAGCAAAAAAGTGAGCGCTTTCAATAGACAAGCAGCTGAAGCACACAGGATAACCAAAAAAATCCTCACATGAAAATAAAATAAAAGTGCAGCGCTAAAAAATTAAATGTGACACAATAAAAAGTGATCATAAAAATTCCCAATTAAGGTGACCTAGGGTAACAGTGCACACTAACCAGAAGTGCACATAAATAGTGCAGTGTAGTAAGGATGGAGTTCATAAAGTAGTCATCAGCATGGAGAGGGTAGATGAAGGTCCACAGGATGATACAAAGCTAGGCAAAGGAAATCCACTAGATGGCAGAAGATGATCCTGACTCCACCAAAGAAAAAACTGCTCCTCCACTGTACACCAATAATATCTAAGGGAAAAGATGCTCCCCACAAGGGATCAAGAAAAAAATGCCCATAGTGAAGTACAGTTAAAGAATATTTATTTAAAAAGTATTTAAGGTAGGCAGGATGCATCCAATAAAATTGCAAAAATAGCATACGAAGACAAGCAGACAAGACTAACCGTCCTGTCAGATGTAGTGGCCGCCTGAGCTCCACGATGCTCCGACGGCGTGACGTCAAGGCGTGCGTAGGCTCCTCCTTACGCGTTATGTGCCAAGCACATCTTCAGAGAAAGAACCGGTCATGTTCTGCAAACTACCTCAGACCAAACCAAGGTACTATATTCAGCTCATCCCTAGCCATCATGAATACCCTAATAATACCTTATTTTTCATATCCTGTTATAATTAAAAAAAAATGGGCATATTGCTGAAACATGTGTCAGTTCCAGCTATGCAATGAGGAAAATTTTTAATTAGTACATAACACATATCACATTTACACTAAGCCTTAATTAAAAGTCCTTGGCATTTATACTATATAGAATGATACATCAATATCTGGAAACAAATGTATTTTAACAATCTATAATTAGTACCACTTCTGGTACAATGAATGGACTAAAGTATATGATATAAGTTAATACACAGTATGAAGAGGAAAGTGCATATATGCAGAAAAATATGTAAAATATCTATTTGTTGAATAATATATGTTTAAAGCATATAGACATGCAATCATTGCAGCTTTTAGCCCTGCTTTATATAACTTTTTTTTGTAGAGAATTAAATAATGCTTAGCTTTGCATTGTATATAATTGTAATGCCAATGGCAGCACATGCTTGGCAGTGAAAGAGTTGTATAAAATACTCTATACAAGTTTATGAACCTTTAGCTCTCACCCCCTAAAGGGCCTGCTGGTGGTCCCATAGGTTCTTTTCCAAGATAGTGTATTACCAGACAGGCACACTGTCTTAGTCACTTTTCTGGCTCAGCAAATAGTCTAGGGCAGGGGTATTGAATTAAAATTCAAGGAGGTCCGGTCATTAAAATTTTCTTCTGGCCAAGGTCTGCATAGTGTGTGCCCATCAGTGTGCCCCCTTACATTAGGTGTTGCCATCAGAGTGCAACTTTACATCATGTATTCCCATCACATCAGGTGTGCCCATCACAGTACTCCTTTACATCAGTTGTCCCTATCATTTTGCCACCTTACATCAGGTATTCCCGTCAGGAGTGCCCCCTTACACTCAAAGTACCCCTTTCTATCATATTTCCCCATCAGAGTGCCCCTTTACATCATATTCCCCATCAGAGTGGCCCTTTCCATCACATGTACCCATCAGAGTGCACCTTTCCACAGTATGTGCCCATTTGTGCCCCCTTAACATAAAATGTGCCCATCAGAGTGCCCCTTAACATAAAACGTGCCCATCAGAGTCCCTCTTAAAATAAAATGTGCTTATAACAGTGTCCATTAACATAAAATGTGCCAGTCAGGGTGCCCCTTAACATAAAATGTGCCCATCAGAGTGCCCCTAACATAAAATAAGGGGCATGCTGATGGGCACTTTTTATGTTAAGGGGCACTCTGATGGGCACATTAATTTTAAGGGGCACTCTGATGGATACATTTTATGTTAAGGGGCACTCTGATGGGCACATTTTATGTTGTGTCCCGCTATAAGTCTCTGATTGCCACCATTACTAGTAAAAATAAAAAATAAAAAAAACATCCCGGTATATATACCACCATTTGTAAACTCTATAACTTTCACGTAAACCAATTAAGTTACGTATTGGGATTTTATTTTTAGCAAAGACATGTAGCAGAATACATTTTGGTGTAAATTTATGACGAAATTTAATTTTATTACTGGACATGTTTAACCTCCCCAGCAGTCTGATTATGTTAGTATTTCTGTGCTGAAAGCGGTAAATTTGTTTGCATGGAAATATGTTCTTTTTATTATTGTAGACCTGTAATTCTTAGGAATAACTCACTGAAATCTGTCCGATCAAGAGTCTAGTAAACATCCTGGGTATGATTAAATTTGAAACACGAAATCATAAATTATAATCTAATAAATAATCATAAAAAACAATAATATACTAATAATACATGTAATTCAATAATGTAATCAAACCAAAAACACTGAAATTTGAAATAGAACGCCAAGTTTGCACATCACTGAGGTCAGTCACAAAATTGTTTTCAGTGTCTGATGACGAATTTCCCCACGAATCATTATCACTCAATTCTGCAAGTAGTTCTAATTTACTATCGCTGTTCTCTAGCTGGTCTAAAACCGCTTTTGACCTAAAGGGATGCTTTTTGGACACCATGGACATTTCTCAGTTTCCAGGCAGAAACAACAGTAAAAATGCAGGCAGGGCACAGGACAAAGCACTAGGGACAAAATGTATGTGAAATGCTTTGATACAGTAATGTTATACTATCAGATTTTTATTGTATTGAGTGAATGTAATTTTTAAAATTTTTGAATTTCCCGCCGGTTCCGTCCCCCGTATGTCCCGTATGTCCCGACGCTTGCAGGAAACAGAAGTCAGAAAACGAATGCCGGTATGGGTCGGAGGAGATGGCCGGGGACGCTGCAGGGGGGACATCATGGGAGCGCAGGACAAGGTAAGTGCTGGAGGGATCCCAGAGCAATGCTGCAGTGTAATCCTGAGTGTAGCTCGGGGTTATCGCTTCTGGTACTGAAAGTTTACTCTGAGCTACACTCAGGAATACCGCCAGGGGGGTTAATAACCATACATATCACAACTACTTTGTGCATCCAGGTGAATTATATCTTGTTTTTTCATGACAAATTGGGCTTTCATTTGGTGGTAAATGGTAATGGATATATCATGATTTTTTTTTATTATCAAAGGAAATCTGGCCCAAAACAGTAAAAAAAAGAATCATTTTTTTTTAAATTTAGCTGTGTGTTTCTTGTTACTACCATAACCTACCACCAAAGACCAACCTAAAATACGTTTTCCAGCTCTTGGCAATCACAGCGATACCATATATGTGTATGTTAGTTGTTTTTTGTACCTGTACTACAGCCCAGAAACAATAGTGTGCATTTTGTTTTGTTTTTTTACCTAAAACAAATTCAGAGAGCAAAAAAAGACAAGGAGGGAGGGAAGTTTCACAGTGACTGATCATTGTGATAGCCAATCAAAGGCTATCACAGTGATCATGTGACCAGGAATTGGGAGTCCGATCGTTAGAATGGGACACCCCGGTCTTTGTTCTGGAAGCTCACTGTGTGGTGCACTCCCATCACAAAGACAGGTGCTCAAATATGCAGGCCCTATGGAAAAAAAACAGTTCTGTGAGGCCGCATATTTGTGTGATGTGGGTGGGAATGGGTTAAGGTTGCCTTTACTTTCTGGTTTGGTGCTTGTTTATTTTTTGAGATGTCAGAGGAGCTGAGGTTCTTGAGAAGGTCGAGGCAAAGGATGCAGGAACCATCCTATCCTACCCCCTACAGGGGTAGCACATAACTGGATCATGTGGAACAATGTTCACTTGTGTTTATTGTTGACATGTCTCGCTTTTATTCCTCTGAACAAGTCAATGGGTATGCTATGTTAACACTTGGTAAGCACATCCAGAATATGTTTTAAATGCACCATGTAACAAATTAACTCAAATATTAGTGTAAAAAAAGTTATTTTTTTTAAAAAGCTCTATAAATATAATCCATATCATGTTTAATGCCGACTATAAAGGTTGCCTGTGATAATCAATATCCTGCACCCTTGTTCATCATTCATGCTTCACATATGTGCATGCCATGCTGCCATAATGCCATTCTGCCCACATCTAGCATTTACAAGGCATCTACTGGATACCAGTTGTATCTGCAAGCAAACACAGTTGCCCATTTAATCTGTTCCCTGACACAGCTCACCATTCACTATGCTCACTGACATTTCTCTTAGTACGGTTACCAGCAGATAAGGTTAACTACCTTTCCACCTCCTATAAATATGAAATAATTACTGCCTCTTTATCTTTAAGGACCAGGCTTTGATAAAGAAACAGTTCTTCCTTGGTCTTTTGGACCTCTGTGCAGCAGGACAGTTTGTAGAAGACACTTGTCTGCCTCTGTTCCTTTACTTGTTAGGGTCACGTCTTTCTATATTCAATACCGTCCTAAAGTGAATTAGTTTATCATCAAATGTTAAGTAACCTTTTTGTTCCTGTGAATGTGAATAAAAGTCTAATTTCAATAATTTCACATAACTAAGTATAATTAAATGCTTTGAAGGTGAAAGAAGCATCTTTAGTGTTACATACTGAACAAAAAATATGCCACCAAATGGTCTGCATACGTTAATGTATCATCACTTATCATTACAGCAACAGCATTCAATGACATAATACAGAGAGGTCAAAGCCAGTTTTGCAGTATATGATTCCAGTGCAGACAAAGCTTTTACTTAGTGAAATGAACTCTTGTGCCTCAATCTACAAATGCTTCTTCGATACAAAAAAATAGCAGCTGGCTGACACTGTCATGTGTTCTCACATCATAGATAATGTATCTCAGATATAGTGCAGCACTACTGTACAATACTTCCAACAAAATCAATGATGTTCAAAAAATTTTTAAATGTGAATTATTCATGCAGCGTCCTGGAAATTAAATCCATTATGTGTTTCAGATTTGTGCTACAATATAATAATGTTCTATATAAACTTCCTCCTCATAATAAAAAAATGTACTATCGTGAAAATACACGTCGGCTTCATAATAATTGTGCTCCAACAGTGGCTGTGATCCACTCTAATATCCACTCTTATGGTTCACCACATCGTGCTCCCTATGCTGTCACTTCTGATATAAGTCATATCAAGCCTTCCCTTTTAAGGAGTAAAAGCCATTGGTGTCCTCCTTTCCGTACTCAGGGCATCCTCCTTTCATCCATGCTGTTTGAAATCGTATAGGATAACTGCAACTTTTCCCCTTTAAAGGACAGCAGCTCCATCTTTTTATGCCCCCACCAATGCTTCAGTTCAAAATAAAGATTTTGCCATTATTGTGCTTTCTGCTAAAATGATCACATTATTAAAAATGATAAAAAAACACACTCATATTTATTTGGTCGCTATTCCAGTGCATAGCAGTATATCATAAGTACTGTACAGTGGGGCAAAAAGTATTTAGTCAGCCACCAATTTTGCAAGTTCTCCCACTGAAAAAGATGAGAGAGGCCTGTAATTGGCATCATAGGTAGACCTCAACTATGAGAGACAAAATGAGAAAAAAAAATCCAGACAATCACATTGGCTGATTTGGAAAAAAATTATTTGCAAATTATGGTGGAAAATAAGTATTTGATCAATATCAGAAGTTCATCTCAATACTTTGTTATATATCCTTTGTTGGCAATGATGAGGTCAAACGTTTCCTGTAAGTCTTCACAAGGTTGGCACACACTGTTGCTGGTATGTTGGCCCATTCCTCCATGCAGATCTCTAGAGCAGTGATGTTTTGGGGCTGTCGCTGGGCAACACGGACTTTCAACTCCCTCCAAAGGTTTTCTATGGGGTTGAGATCTAGAGACTGGCTAGGCCACTCCAGGACCTTGAAATGCTTCTTACGAAGCCACTCCTTCGTTGCCCGGGCGGTATGTTTTGGATCATTGTCATGTTGGAAGACCCAGCCACGTTTCATCATCAATGCCCTTGCTGATGGAAGGAGGTTTGCACTCAAAATCTCACAATACATGGCCCCATTCATTCTGTCCTGTACATGGATCAGTCGTCCTGGTCCCTTTGCGGAGAAACAGCCCCAAAGCATGATGTTGCCACCCCCATGCTTCACAGTAGGTATGGTGTTTTCCTCCAAACACGACGAGTTGTGTTTCTACCAAACAGTTCTATTTTGGTTTCATCTGACCATATAACATTCTCCCAATCCTCTTCTGGATCATCCAAATGCTCTCTAGCAAACTTCAGACGGGCCCGGACATGTACTGGCTTAAGCAGGGGGGACACGTCTGGTACTGCAGGATCTGAGTCCCTGGCGGCGTAGTGTGTTACTGATGGTAGCCTTTGTTACGTTGGTCCCAGCTCTCTGCAGGTCATTCACTAGGTCCCCCCGTGTGGTCCTGGGATTTTTGCTCACCGTTCTTGTGATCATTTTGACCCCACGGGGTGAGATCTTGCGTGGAGTCCCAGATCGAGGGAGATTATCAGTGGTCTTGTATGTCTTCCATTTTCTAATTATTGCTCCCACAGTTGATTTGTTCACACCAAGCTGCTTGCCTATTGCAGATTCAGTCTTCCCAGCCTGCTGCAGGTCTACAAGAAGGTACAGGTCTGTGAGAGCCAGAAATCTTGCTTGTTTGTAGGTGACCAAATACTTATTTTCCACCATAATTTGCAAATAAATTCTTTTCAAATCAGCCAATGTGATTGTCTGGATTTTT